TTAAAGTTTATAAGGAGAGACAAAAATCTCGGAAGAGTTAAAACAATGCTGGGGATAAACAAACCTGGAGGGTGGACAGTACTTGACTTTAAGACCTACTGTGGAGCAATGGTTATCAGGACAGTGGGATACTGGAGAAAGAATAGACAAATAGGTGAGTGAACAGATCAGAGAGACCAGAAACAGATCCACATCAGTCCAGCCAATTGATGTATATTCAAGGAGCAAAGGTAACACAGCAGCATGGAGCAGAGATCCTTCCAACAAGTGGTGCTACATGACCTGGATGTCCTCATCACCACGGCTACTGACACATGTGAAAGGAGAGACCAGAGAGAAAGAAGGGAGAAGGAGGAAGAAACACTTGTAAAATAAGGGCTGGAAACTTATCAAATTTACACACACACACACACACACACACACACACACACACACACCCCACATATATATGTTTGTGTGTGTGTGTGTGTGTGTGTATTCATTAGATTTAATGCTTTGCCTTTGTAAAATAAAAACAAATAGATTCATTCCTAAGCACATCACAGTCAGACTGTGAAAAGGCAAAATCTCTCTTTAGATCTCTCTTAGAAGAAGCAGAGGAAAACTTCTGGACCACAGAAAGGTTATCAGTTGATTCCCAATCAGAAACAATGGAAGGAGGTAGTGGGGTGGCATAATCAAAGGAAGCCAGGGAGGATCACCTTGAGATTCCATAATCAGAAAATATATCCTTTAATAATGAAAAAAAATAAAGATACTCTCAGATAAAGAGAGCATAAAAAAATTGCTGCCAGCAAAATAAATCCTCTAGATGAAGATAATAAAATAAATCTGAAATTTTTTATTTAAAATTTATATAACTAAATAAACATAGAAACAATTTTAATTCTATGTTGAGTTGATACAAGGCAAGAATATATTATATGGAAAAGTTGGAATTTCAAAGAGAGGTGATCCTGAAAATAATAATCCCTGAGAAATAAAAACTACAAAGATAAAACAAAGTTCCAAAAGCTATGAAATTAATGGAGCTCAAGCAGAGATCTACAAGGAAGTGGGTCATGTCTGGGTTCTGGGGGGAAAGAATATTGAATGGACAAAAGGCTCCTCTGACAGGGTGAGTAGGTGAAGTCAAAAGGAAAGATTTAGAAGGCACAGGAGGGTGGAGGAAATGCTTGGCCAGAGGGTGGGGCAGAGGTGTGGTGCTGCCTTTTCTTCTTGCTACTCCCCTTCTGTCAGGATCCCTTTGTGATGAGAAGGCACAGCCTTATGACACAGGCCAGGACAGTACTCCTTATTGCTGAAGCAAACTCTCAGGGCTCATTTGTCCAAACAGGACAGTGTGATTCAGATGATGGAGAATCCTTTCTTTCCTCTGAATAGCATTAGTGCCTCATGGCTGAACTCCAGATTCACCACCTGGGAAATGGATATGATCTTTGCCTTTGTGTGTAGACTGGGGCTCTTTCTTCTCTTATTGCCCTTCCTCCAGAGTGATCCATTCTTCCCACCACCAAGGAAAAAGAAAAAACTCAAGAAGGTAAAAAACCCTCAGACCAGACTCAACAAAAACTAGATTCTGTTTTGTCTACTCTTCTTTCCATTTTTCCAAAATAAATAGATGCACTTCAAAAAAGATAAAACTCAGGACAGAACAAACCATCATTCTGGGACAGATGGTTCAGGTCAGGGAAAGACTCTCCCTAGATATAAGCAAAAATAACC